ATCTTTTAATGCTCTTGGCTGGAAGAGGCTGTAAGGGGCAGGTTCCTCAGAGGCTGTTACCCACAAGGTAATCGCCTTGCATATAAGCCATTTGCATCAGTGGGCGTAGTAAGCATGCTTGTTCTTGGTAGGCACCCAGTAGGTACTTGGTACCTCAGATTCGGTGCCTGGTCAATTGCGGATCGTTGAAACAGCCAAGCGTGCCAGATTGCCTGGCAAGCTTGAGGACGATTCCATTCACAAAACCGCGGCCGGAGCGAGCATAACACATCCCTGCAGTGGTGTTGAGTAGAAATTGGTTGAGAGACCTCTGGTGCGATACGGACGAGCCGGATGTCCCGAGCCGAAACAGGTCAGGCAGAAGGCAAGCGGCAAGCTGATTGATCTCAATAATGGCTAACAATGAGCTATTGTAGAAAGGGTAGTAACCTCCAACTGAAGCCGTCGACCAATTCTACATCTGAAGTGACCACCCCATCGACAAGGAGAGGACTACGGCCAAAGTCTCCAGTGCCATTTGTAGGCACGACTTTCAAAACACAAGCGAGGGGAAATTTATCACGCGAAACAGATGAACACGTCGAGCAGAGGGATTATTCGACAGGGGCAACAGGGGCATTTTCCCCGCGGCGGTGGGTGCGGGAGAGATATTGTCTCTGCGTTGGAGAAAATTTTGCCTGGTTCTATCTTTCTTGCCAACGTTCACTTCTGCCACCCGCGAGAACCGTCGATGACTATTCTTCGTCGTCGAGCTCCTCATTTTCGGCAGTGGCAGTGGCCGCAGCTTGTTTGGTCTCGGAGCCCGAAATAGCTTTGGTCTTGACCGCGGGCTCATCCTCTTCTTGTTCTGGCTCGTCAGCGTCGTCTTCGGGCGCATCCTCGCCATTCTCCTCATCCTCCTCCTCCTCCTCCTCTTCCTCTTCCTGGGCAGCAGGCTTGGATTTCTTGGGTGCGGGTTCAGCGGGTTCGGCTTCAGCCTTTCGCTTTTTGGGAGGAGGAGCTATGTCAATGGGTCGATTAGCGATCCAGTTGAGACGGTAACAGAGCCTATTTTGGACCGATCAAAGGTCAGGACTTACCTTGTTCTTCCTCCTCCTCTTCGCCCTCTACGTCTTCATCTTCCTCTTCCTCTTCATCTCCGTCCTCGTCATCCTCGTCATCGTCGTCTTCATATCTGCCCAGGAGCAAAATGCATTAGCGCCATCAATTGCGAGAACCGATACCAGCAGAAAGGGGCGCGCAGCTTGAGGATGAAGGAAGAGCAAGGATGAGGAGAGGATGCTTGCGCGACCTTGACTTGAGCCGCGCACAATGATCAAGCCAGACACGGCATCAAGACAACCAAGAATGCTTCAGATTGTTCGTTCTATCCCGTGTCGGGGAGTTCAAGCAGGAGCAATCAAGAAATGAGAACAGAAAAGACGCAACTTACTCCTCTTCTTCTTCGTCGTCGTCCTCGGGGAGCTCGAGTTCTTCCTCTTCTTCGTCGCCAGGTCGGCTTCTGGTGGGGACCATGGTGTAAAGAATGCTTGGATGTGGACTTATAGATGAAACAAGATGGAAGGAGGTCTAGGAGAGATGGAAAAAGGATAGAAGCACGAGAGAAAGAAAGCTATGGGAGGGAATTAAGAAAGGGAGAAGAGGTGCGTGGTCGAGGTAGGGGGTGAGCGTGCGGACTACGGCTGAGAAACTTGGGAGACCTCTGGGGGGTAGCTGTGGGCAAACGTCAGGGCCCAGAGTCCATGTCCCAGGTTCGCACTAGTCAGCAGCTCAGGGGACTGAACAGAGGGGAGAGGAGAGAAATCGGGGAGAGGCAAGAGGCGGGCTTCAGGGCTTCCGGGGGCTGGGAAAAGAGAGAGCCCGAAGTGTGCGCATCATAGTGCATAGAGACGTTCGGCCCAGTGGTTTGGCGTGCCGCTTGACCTTGCTTGACAAAGAGGGAAGCTCCAGAAAGCTGGAGAGGAGGAGAAGAGAAAGGCAGCTTTTTTGGCTGAGGAGCAGCAGTTCCGGCACAGCACCACAGCACCACAGCACCGAAAAAGTGGGAGGGACAAGAGCTGGGAAGCGTGAAGAGGCAGAGAGAACAGGCGAGGGGCAAAGGGGGCGAGGGGAGCTCCGAGCACAGGAGGTTGGGGAAGTGCGCAAGCAGCAGGCACAGGAGCTGCGGCTCTCTAATCCCCCTCTCTCCGTAGGGCCTCCTCCCCTGGACTTCCGAAGTTCGTGATGGGCAAAGGCACTAACTCTAGGTAGCCCACTACGCTATGAATTGTGCTGCTGCTGTTTCTGCCTGTCAATTGGCCCTTGTCACCTTGATCCGAGCTCCCTCGATGGCGCCAAGACGAAAAAGGACCCGCCCTCCGGAAGAAAGAAAATACGGCACCGAGAAAACCTATCACAGTCAACTCGGCGTCTTTAGCTCCCTGCGGGTCTCTTTTCAGGGTCCTTTGTTACTTTCCTTCTCGCTTCATTTCTCAAGCCTCAGCTCAACGTCATCAGCCTTGCCAGACCGACGCAAATCATCTCCGGCCCATTCCACCTCTAGCGTTTTCAGGTTCAATGAACATTGATGATACCGAGTGCTGTGCTTTGTGGGGACAAGAAAACCAAACAAACAATGGGGCCAACTGAAGATGACCTGTCGTCCTTTTGCCTGTCCTGCACCCCAACAATTGCATTTGAGCCTGCGCAACTGCATTTTCCAACTCCCACAGCAGCCTCAGTGTGACCGAGGTCGATAACAGTATGGTTCAAACCAGGCCCTGGCCTCGGTCAAGGTGTCACGGTGCAACCGCTCGGGGGTTTTCTGCCTTCCCTTGTATACCTCTTCCCGATCCACTGTCAACCACCCATCACGTTTGCTGAGCCTACAAACACCACCAACACTGCCGCAAATGCTGTGGTGGACATAAAGACGTCGGCTCGTCTCTGAGCAATCACGTTCATCACCAATGAAAACACCAAGCTCATCATGCTGATTGCAACCAGGCGTGCGGCCATGCTTTTCACACTGAACAACACCAGGATTGACAAGGCCGGAATCACGGCTGACAACAGCATACATATCGTATTCCCAACCTGCACCAGCGTTTCTGGCCTGTACTCCCACGTTCTCTCAAAGGCCTTTTCTGCCATAGACCGGTGAAGTCTATATCCAACTGCCCGGTGATATAGCGGCACCACTCTTTCACTCAAAAAGTTGGCCAGAGCATCTTTGCTTCCAATGTTTTCGTTCAGCGTCAACAAGTCTTCCTCAACGCTGGCGTCTCGGAAGATGCCCGCTTCCACTCCATACAAGAACTGGTCGCCACCACTTTCTTCGTCATACCACTGCCTGCGGAGCTCGAGATTGTCCTTTCGCGGTTGCTGCAACGCGTTGATTCTTGCTGTTCTCAATAGAGCTCGGTCTGCCCCACCGTGTCAGCGGCCTGTTCCCATTCATTGGTGTCAAAGCCACGCTTCCTACAATACTGGTCCAGCAGGGTCCTTGACCGCTCAAAAATCCGGTGTATGTCCTCTTCAGACATGCTTTCGGGATTATCGATCCAGATCCGGTCGAAGCTGTTCATGCCTGGGATCTTTCGCACCTCATTAATAACCACTTCGAGATGCTGCAGCTCGGCTTGCATGTGCAAGATATTCTCGAGGTTCATGCTGGAGAATTTTCGGAAAGCTTCGATATTCTGATGGCTGGCCATCATGGCTGCCAAAGCTCCGTAACCCGTCATTTTCGTAACGCAGCGATCTCGTCGGCGGCTTCCGCGAAGGTGATAGAGATCAGGGGTATGTCTTTTGTGGGAGGACAGCGGGCGGGTGTCTGCTTATAATGAGGACTCACAGACTAACTTGTCCAACACAGCCGCGACTTCTCATCAGTGGGGCGCTCGCCGAGGGGCCTTCCATCTACCTGCATCGCTGCCCAAGAGGCCTCCCTTCCAACCGCCCATCGATGAGAGCTTCCAATAGAGAGCGAGCGCGCAATGCCACTCTGGAAATGCTCTCTGTTTGGCGATTGTTCTCGCCGCCAACGCATATTACGAGCCCGGCCATCCCTGCATTCGGAAACTACGTGAAGATCGCCCGTGCTGCCAGTCCGACGTACGTGGCGACAGCCTTGGAAGCACGTGCACTTTATCTTACGGCAAACTCATCACGCATTTACCGGCTTAGTTGCAACATATCTCATGAGGTACCTAGGAACCACTCCCTCCAGCTCTACATTTCAGAAGTCCCTGGATATCAGGGCATTTGTAAATTTGAGACAAGACTTGCACCGCACTATTCATCCCTCGGAAGTCTGACAAGGTCTCCGGCTCGTTTGGTGCGGCAAAACTCAACGCTGCAACTTCCCTTACCGAATGTGGTCCCGAAATAGTTACTGGTGCTTCCGTTGGCCATCGTCGATTCATTCTCTTTCATCCTCCAAACCATGGTGCTACTGTTGCAAAGACACGCCTCCTGTTGTGACACTGACCCACGGTATTGGGAGGTACTCCCGAGCCCTCCAAAGCTGTCGTGCTTTGCACATGGAATAAGCCTGGTTTTTGTCAAGAAGTCGACATGTCTCAAGAGGTTCGGAGGCCCACAGCTGCAGCCCTGTATGCGGGATAAGGGTTCTCGTCGTGTTTGGAGGAGTTTGTCACATGTTGCCATATTGCAGCTTGCCCGAAGGACGGGCCCGACCCTGTACAACGATACGATCCAAGCAGAGACCATGCCGTTCCCAAAGTGGCTTGACTGCCATTTGGTGTTATTTAAGATGGCAGACTGGTCTGTCTTTGTTGCTAATCTTTTTCGTTTGCTGGTGGCTTAAAAATCTCTCTTCGTGCAGTGTGAATGACCCGCGGAATCTGAGACGGTTGGGCAAGAGTGAGAAGGAATTGCCGAGAAAGGACGTACCAGTATGAAAAGGCTTCCATCTGTCCCAGCCGAATAAGAGAATTACTGACTTCGTGGATGGCAGGATGACCCTAGTCACCTGGAGGAAGCATTCGCCCGAAAGGATGTCCAAGTTACTTCGCGCCGTCCCGGATTCCAAGGGTGTGGCCAAAGCCCCCGTTCTTGACCGGCTGCGAGATTCTATAATTCAGCCTCTGTTCCAAGGAAAGGAAGAAAAGCCGAGCCGGGCAGCAGATTGTGCCAGCAGTGGTCCGCCCAAACACCATGGAAAAGTCATGTTGATGGAAGAAAGAAGGAGGCGTCTCAATCTTTTTGTGGTTCTCATGTTCATCCACCTTGAGCCGAAGAGAAATTCACGGTCAGGTCATCAACATTTCACGACGACGACGACGACGACTCCGCGAAGAGTGTTGCTGGACACCGGGGCCGATTTCAACCTGATCTCTGACGACGCTCACACGGAGCTCAACCTGACCAAACAGCCATACAGTGGCCGCGTGCATTCGATTGGTGGATACACCGATCTCAGCAGCACCGTCGTCCTTCAGTGGCATTTCCAGCGTTACAGTTCCGAAGCAGATCGGAGTTCGCCGTCCCATCGTGCGCCGTTTTATGTTCTACCACCAGAATCCGAAGCCAAATTCGACTGTATCCTCGGCCGACCCTGGATCGAGGAGAACTGGGATGAATTCATCACCTTGGTCGAGCTCAACCGAAGAAAAGAGGCCGCAGGGTAGGAAGCTCTCAAAAGTACAGTGGGTTTCGTGAAGTGTTTTGCATTTGCACCATAGTATCGGGGCACCGAATCAATTCTTCTCACAACAAAAGCACACCAACCGGATCAAGGGCGAGCGCAAACGTCCGACTTATGAAGGGAATAATACGATGAATGTACCACCAAAAGATGAGACACAGAGGTTAATTTCTGGGAAAGGACCTGCTCGCCACGGAGCTTCTGAAGCGATATCGTGTGACAAAAGCCCCCCGAAATCTGGATTCGGACCGAGGGAGGCGTTTGGGTGACGGGCTACTGAAGACAAATTTGTTACACAGCTGGTTGAGTAAAAAGTCCCCAAGTCATCGAAACATTGCCAGACGGCCAACGACGTTAATTTTGTACGGATATGGTCATCAGGACATGGCGGAAGCCGCCACAGCGGATCCGAGAAAGGACTATTGAGTTTGGTATCTTCCAGAGTCTTGTTCAACCTGTCAATTGTTCTTTGTGGCTTGTTCTCAACCTGCGCATTCTAAAGTGACAAATCTAGCGTTCATGGTCCACCCCGACAGTCCCAGGTGACCATCACGCCGGAGTGCAGCAAAATGTCATCACTTGAAGTCTTTCGCTCGACAGGGATGTACCGTTGGCAAAAGGTGTACCTGAACAAATCCTCTCCCTAGATATATGAAAGACGAAGCATCCTCCAATACCAGTCTGCCAACACACGGGCATTTCAATCCGGGCTTGGGCACGAAGTTTGTCTCCCTGTTGCGCAGTTTCAGTTGCTGCCGGCTTGTTTGCCCTGTATTTGCCTCACTGCTCGGCCGTCTGCCCTTTTTGAGGCATGGCCACAGGGCGCAATCGCCCGATCTCGACCGCTCTTATGCAGGATTCCCATCAGCTCGAGTCTTCATATCGCTCGTGGCAAGCTCGTCGTCCGCAGTTATTTCGTCCATCCAACAGGACTTCACCAATGGTACGGGTTTCTCGCTACTAACCGAGCACATGTTGATACTGTCTTCTGCACTTGCTGACACCCGGTGACTTAGGCTATGAATTCGAAAGTGTGCATCTTCGTCATCGCCGAGGGCCAGGAGCATCCTGTCAAGCTGAGCAATGCCCTTTACGACAGTACTTTGTCCAAGAGCATCATTTCAAAGAGCAAAGCGGTGGCGACCCGCGGTGCCATTCGCCCCAACACACCAACCACTTTAACCGATCATACAGGAACGGGTCATGTCTCCACTTCCCACATCTCCTTGCGATGGTACTACGATGACGGCACTCAGACTTTTCCCGAAACATTCTACATTGTCGACAAAGTAACGGCCAATGACACGGACAGCACCCGTCAAGAAGAAAGAGACCACCACTGGGATGCGATGCTCCGCAGTACCGTCGAGCCACCATCCGCCGCTCTAGGCCCTCAGGTCAACCCGATATGCGCTGCGCCCCCGGGAGTCGATCCCCGGCGGGAGCGCGAAAGGAAAGAACGGGCCGAGACGAATCAGCAGAAATTCGAGAGGGAAAAGGAATTGCAGGCCAAGAAGATCCGGGATGCGTTCGCTTTGAAGCAGGCCGGGCCGGGAAAGCGAGGATGAACAACGGACTTGTCGTCGAGCCATAATTTCGGAGGAATTGAAAAACAGGCCAGTTAGGCCCTTGACAACGTGGTTATGTATGGACGGGGGATTGAGGGAATTCGCAATCTTTTCTTTACGAGCCTGTCGCATTGGTGTGTGTGTACTGGGACGAAGCAGCTAGCTGGCACGGTCCTATCCTAAGGGATCTGTCTCGTTGACGATTTAGCGTGTGATTTTTTCCTTGACATTGTTGACCTTGTCATTCTTTATATCGCCGTTGGGGAGAGAATGACTGCCATGTGATCGGTCTGGGAAAAACACGGTCCGTTCTCTACGGCATACTACTTGCTGCAACTCCCCTTGTTCTTTTGGTATAGGGATAAATAGATAAACTTATTTCAACGGGGCACGACGCGTAGAGCGTATCGTCTACGCATCCAATAGCTCGTAATATGCGTACCGTACCATACATACTATGCCGACATCGTCATCGCGGGTGTGTCGTCGGATGGAATTCTGCCCGTCAATCACCATATCTATCTAACTATACTCGGTAATCCATCTGCCTCATTCCATCTATTCAATGTACCTGTCCAACAAATCCCCGCAGCCCTTTAGAGTATCAATGAAACTTGCCAAGTTGTTTTTGGTGGAGGGTGCGTGCGTGCGGCCAGCGAAATTTCGGGGAGGGGGTTTTGGAGATGCAATGATTTTGCTTTTATCGCTGAAGTGGGCGGGTTGAGGATATCTGTGGGGACTTTGAGATGGATAGATGATGAAGACCATTGAACAAGAGGTAGAAAATGGAAATTATGCGTGAAAAGAGGCTAGAGGAGAAGCAAAAGAATAGACGGCAAATGTATATCTCCAAAAAAAATATATACTTGTACCCCTGCACCCGGATAGAAAATTGCTAGATGCTCTCATTACTCCTCCGCTTTGCCCACTGAAACGAAATAGTATCCTTCTTCCAACGATCAAGCCATACCGCCGTTCACCCGGATCGTCTGCCCGCTCACCCACTCGGCGCCCTCGCCGCACAGGAAAGCGATCGCCTGCGCAATCTCCTCGGGCTTGCCGATTCGGTTGGCCGGGTGGAAGCTCGCCAGAGTCTTGAGCACCTGCTCGCTCTTGCCCTCCAGGAAGAGATCGGTTGCTGTCGGGCCCGGGGCAATGGCGTTCACTCGGATGCCTTTCCTGGAGAGCAGGTCCTTGGAGAGGAGGCGAGTCAGTTGTTCGATGGCGCCCTTCGTCGAGCAGTACAGTGTGTAAGGTCCGTTGACGGTTGAGGCGTGGCAAAGGGTGGTGGAGATCAGCACGATGCTGCTTCCCGGAGCCATGTGCGGTAGAGCCTTTTGAACAAGGAAGAAAGGTCCCTTGACGTTGAGGTTGAATGTCCGGTCAAAGTCCTCTTCTGTACACGATTCGACCGTCTTCATGGGCAGGATCCCCGCATTAGGGACCAGGATGTCGATCTTCCCAAACTTCTCTACCGTGGCCTTCACCAACTGTTCGACGCCGGCGACCGTCCCTGCGTCGGCTTGGATTGCGTAAGCATTGTCGCTGCCGAGTTGCGAGACGATCTTCTCCGCTGCCGCCGTGTCGCGGCCATAGTTGACGACGACTTTGGCTCCGAGTTTGACTAGGAGCGTTGCAGTGCTTGCGCCAATGCCCTTTGTGCCACCGGTGATGACGGCGACTTTGCCTGAGAGTGGAGCGGAAGACATGGCGATGGGTTTGGATGCGGTTGGCGCTTGCGTCGTGGGTGTAGTAGTGCTTGAAGTTCCTTGCTGGGAAGAGGATGTGGTCTTATTGGACTTGTGTCTGGTGATGATTGCCTTGAACTGTTTCATGGAACTTGTTGCAGTGGTTGATATGGAGAAAGACTTGCTCGAAGACTGGGCTCTCTCACCCCTTGATATAGAAATCGACCCCCTTGCGATGGCATGGTTTGTACGGAATTGTGGTTTGATACCCAAGGACGAGATGACGCCGGTAATTCCGGCTGAAGATCCTGAATAACCATGGAGTGCGGCATCAAAATCAAGACTTTGACAGAGATCGCGCGAAGTGAGTTCGACCAGATGGACTTTGGTGTTCCCTGGAAACTTGGCGTGGTGGCTTGCGGCCGCACATAGCGCACATAGCGATAAAGCCTTGCCAGCGGAGGAGAAGCTGCCCCATTGGGAAAGACCTGTTCTCCGCAAAGACCGACTAATGTTCGAGGGAAAAACATATGATGTCTCCGGGGATACACCGGAACAGCCAATCTTAGGCTGCCAATGTCGCCACTGATGTCATTTCTCTGGAGTTATGCCTCGTCAAACGGCATCAACGGGTATAATATTCTTCCGCTGTATGCTGACTCTTCATTCCGCTCGTACATGGGTTTGAGTTGTGCAACGATGTTCCTAGGGTTTAGATGATACAGACCCTTGAAGCCCGTGGTTGGCATCCTCCATAGAATGAAGGACGGTGTGGTATTGATACTCAAGGCACCTGACAGTGTGGAATGGCGACCTCGTCACCAGTACATATCTGGCAGATATAAGAGGTTTGAGCATATTCATTTTTTAGATCTGGTCCATTTACCTTGCCAGTTAAACTTTCCAACACAAAACCTGAGCAGAAGATGACTGCGCGACCCCTTGTGAGCTTGGTTACTGGGGCTGGTTCGGGGTTTGGGGCCTTGACAGCGCGTGCGCTCGCCAGATCGGGCCATACGGTATATGCTGGCTTTCTCCAGTCCAACGACGACAAATCTTCCGTGTACAGGGACGCTGCAAATTTTGCCAAAGATCATAACTGTCAGCTTCGAGGCATACAGCTCAATGTCGTCAAGGACGACTCGATCAAGAGAGCGGTCGACAAGATCATGGCCGATGAGGGGAGGATAGACGTTGTTGTCCACAATGCCGGTAGGCGCCAGGATCGATACTTCAAGAGAATTAGCTCGCACAAGCATTGACGATTTCTCTCAGGACACATGAACTTTGGTCCCGCCGAGGCATATACGCCAGAACAATTCTTGGAGATGTACGACGTCAATTGTCTGTCTTGTCAACGCATCAATCGAATCGTCCTGCCCCATATGAGACAGGCCAGAACCGGACTGCTTGTGTGGATATCGTCCAGCAGTGCTCATGGGCCGAGCTCTCCGTTTCTAGGACCATATTTTGCGGCAAAGGCTGCCCAAGACTCCCTCGCACAGACATATGCCGCCGAGCTGACTCAGTTCGGTATTGAAACATCGATAGTCGTGCCCGGCGTCTTTACAAAGGGCACCAATCATTTCGCCACAGCCATGAAGGCCGGAGATGCGGCAGTCGAGCATGAGTATATGGAAGGCGCTCTAAAAGGATGGGATCGGATCTGTGCCGAAGGTCATAGCAACATAGTTTCACCTGATGCCGACCCTGGAGCTGTTGCTGAAGCTGTTCGCCGCGTGGTTGATACAGAACATGGTAAGCGGCCGTTCAGGGTGCATGTTGAGTTCGACGGAGGTGGTGCAACCATTGTCAATGGCGTTCGTGATCTTGTGAGGGAGACCTTTCTCACCAAGTTGGGACTGGCGGAACTGTTGAAGGTCAAGATATCCAAGTGAGATGTTGAGTCAGGCCCAAAGTTTCATGACTTCAAGTGTTTGGCAAGTCGTAAGCTCACAAGGAAAGGAATGAATTGAAACTCGCAGAAAGAAAGTCAGGCTGCAGCGATGCGTCATTTGAACCTCACGCGGACAGAATTCTCTGGGATACGGCGCCAATTTGGCGACTAAAGGCAAATCCCTCTGAAAACATGTCCGTCTGACAAAAAAAGGAAAATATCATGTCCAATAAGCCCGCAGACACTTGCTGAGGTCTTCGATTTCACTTCACAAATGTTTCCTAAGCTGGACGATTCTTTCCAAGTGGAGCTACTTTAACTGTATGAGATGCACAAAGCAGCTCTCTCCACTGATGTCCCCGCAAATGATCTCGGAACCATGTTCCAGCTTACATTTTGGACAAGTACCCTTCCGCTATCCAGCCATGGGGAAGCCATCGACTCTACGAGCATGATCACTGGAATCAAGCTGGACTTATCCACAACTCAAATCCTCAATTGGGAGTGTCTCTCACCTGTCCGCGGGCGGTGGTAATGCGTCTACGTTCGTTGCCACGCACTCCTGTCTCGCGGTCGCCCCCTGTCAGCCAAAACCTTGAATAGTAATCATCAAATTTGGCAGATATGCCACTCATTCCAACGAGAGGTCTTTCCTCCCTCTTTGCACCGTCTCGGAATTGTGAGCCTTTTTAAGTCATTGAGGCATTCTCTACCTGTCAAACCACCTGGGTTACCAGGACAGTTCCTCCGATCAACTCGCGGATAGCTCTTGAGTTAGCGGAAGAGGGAAGATTGTTGACAGCCATGACCCATACAGAAGACGATGGCTTCTTTGATGTCACTCTTCTGAGCCATCCGATGGCACGGAGCATAGATGAGCTGTGGGCAGGCAAAACAGATATCAAAGAACGACGTCGACTACAAAACCGACTGAATAGACGAGCTTATCGTTGGTTCCCACCACCTGACCCGGAAATCATCGACTAATTTAAGAATATAGGGAAGCGCCAGGTTGAACAAAAGCTGCTTCGGGAGAGGACAATGAATGAGGCTGGCCCTGAATCCCAAAAAGGCCGTCATCATCGAGCGTCCAGAATCCCTGGGGTCGGCGTCTTCGCCCTCGCAGAGAAGGACAGCGTGACATCAGATGAACCAATCTCCCTAAGCTCCTTGGTATCTGCAGCTGGAAAGCTTTCTACAGGAGCCAACAAAATCATGTCATTTGAATCGTCGACCCTGTCAAGGGGTCATCAGATCAATCTCAAGCTCGTGCAGTCATGGTGTCGAAGATTCGAAGAGTCGATGTTGGGTGCCGGCTCTGTCGGCGTAGAGTTCAGTGATGAAGATGCCGCGGTGACAGATTCGGATCCTGTCGTGTTCGAAGAAAGCATCATCTGTACCATGGACATCCGCTATCACACCTTCATCCCCAACCCAGAAGATCAGCTTCTCAACCTTATGTACTACAACGTTTTCCGTGGACTGGCTAGAAACATCAGAGCCTTGAATATGGAAATGCACTTTATGTCCTCCTGGGCTTCAGACAGCCCTTTTGTCACCGGTCAAATTGACATCTCCACGCTGCCACCGGATTTCCAGCCGACATACCTTCAACGAACCGTTTCGCACCACCCATGTTTCGATATATTCCCTGACCCCGTTGTGAGGGACAATGCTATAGAGCACTGGTATATCGAAAAACATCCACTGGAGGGGAGATTATGTATGGCGATTGCTGGCAGGCATACCTGGCATGAGATTGACCTTGCTCTGAGACATGGTTGCGTGCTTTGGGGTGAGCCGGATGTTGCAGAGAGTTGGGAGGTTACTCAGGGCTTTGCAGACGACTGGCCTTTTCTGGTCAAAGGCGCTTTTCGCCTTGAAGCCGCAACGAATCGATATAGAGCGCTGCGAGGCGAACCGCCAATTTTCTTTGCGTGAGGTTTGCAGGGTGTATATAGATTTTCCTGTGACAGTGCTTGAAAATTTGGCAAATACCCACTTATGCACTCCAATGCATTTTTATGGCTGCTGAGAACAGGGTGTGTTGGTATCTTGGGTGGAGATGTCAAGGGCAGAGGGGGTTTATGAGTGTTGCGAGAGAATATCGAGTTTGGTTTTCCCATGAACTTCACAGCGACCAAGGTTTTGCACCTTTAAGAGATATTGGCACCAAGGAAGCACCGAGTCCCGTTATTGTGTGCCTTTTGTTATTGGCAAGGAGGATTTTCAGTGGCTCGCAACGACGTACCTGACCGTGAGTCGACCAATTTTCAGCAGTCTCTGACTTCCAACTAACGCATTCGCAGCTTTTGAGTGCAGCCGACTTCCTCGAGCTTGTCAGTCCAACTCCTCATTTCCATCGTGCATCGAACCAAGTGTATGCTCTGGGGCCTGCCAATCGTCCAGCCGATGTCCACGATGGTGCAGGGAGTGACACGTACAGAACCTATTCTGGTGATGGCTCAACGTCATCTGGCTGGCCAGAAATGGCGCAATGGGTCTCATTTGAGGACATGTGAGGGCTACAGAACATCTTGTGTCCACTCGACTGATATCTGAGCAGGGTCGTCGCGAACGAGAACATTATGCGGGTGTCGTTTGTCAATCTGGGACCTGACAATGGGCCTGACAACAGCAACGAAGAAATCAGCCAGATCTGGAATGCAGTCCAGTCAGTTTTGTCCCAAACCAATGTTGACCACCGCTTCATCCTGGCAATCCTTCTTCAGGAATCCAACGGCTGCGTTCGAGTCCGCACGACCAAGAACGGTGTGCGCAACCCAGGGTTGACGCAGGCCCATGACGGCGGCTTTGCGTCAATGGAAACATCCAGACTCCGTGTCCCGCTTTTGAGATCGACATGATGGTCCTTGACGGTGTGGCTGGGACTTTGAGTGGGGATGGGCTCGCTGGCATACTCAAGCACGTAGGGGCACAGGACGCCAGAGCATACTATCGGGCTGCTCGACAGTACAACACTGGGTCAATTGCAGAGAGTGGTGACCTGGACACAGGGGGATACTCGACCAATTGCTACGCCAGTGACATTGCGAACCGATTGACGGGTTGGGTTTGGGCGATATCGAGTTGTTCTCTTTGAGTGTCGGGTCACTACTGGAGGGCAAATTTAGTTCATTGTGAGGTCTGTCTGTAGTCTAATGGACTCCGCGCTCTGTCCTATGACAACAAGGCTGCCAGATCATGATAGTAATCTGGATGTCGATCAGGAGCACCTTTAGAATCTATTGATCGGTACTGAAAACGAGTGCAGTCTGCTGTGGAGACGACATTTCCAGAGATGTGGCGGGTGAACCCCGGCGGGATTATTGCCCGAGCTTCTGCCACCTGGTCTTTGAGCCGTCACAATGATCCTCTACATGCGGACGATGGCTACCATTACTTGTTGATCTTTCTATCTGGACACCCTTCTTCACATAGATGTCAAACCTCTTACTTTGAACGGTCCCTCGAGAATCTAGCCTCCAACAGTCCATCACCATGCTACCTTTTCTCGCCCCCTATCTCTCCAACCCTCGTCAGTCGCTGTCGCAGGTGCTGAATTTCGCCCTCGTCCTGTCGACTGCGTTCATGCTATGGAAGTCGTTGTCCGTTATTGCAGACTCGCCCTCGCCTATTGTGGTGGTTCTGAGTGGATCAATGGAACCTGCGTTTCAAAGAGGTGATTTACTGTTTCTCTGGAACCGAGATAAAACGGCCGAGGTGGGAGAAATAGTCGTCTACAATGTGAAAGGCAAGGACATTCCAATTGTCCACCGCGTTGTCCGAAGTCACGCACCTGCAGCGGCTGTCGAAGTGGATAAAAGGTATAGAAACCCGGCTACTCCTTGAAGATTGAACAACTCTGGCTAACGCGTCCGTGATCTCAGTGGTAACCTCTCGAACGCGTCTCCAAAACTCCTCACAAAAGGCGACAACAACGTCGCCGACGACACAGAGCTCTATGCGCGGGGTCAGAGTTACCTGGATAGAAAAGAGGATATTATTGGCAGCGTGCGCGGATATGTGCCAGCAGTTGGCTACGTGACCATCATGCTTAGCGAACACCCTTGGTTGAAGACGGTTATGCTAGGAATGATGGGCCTGATGGTCATTTTACAAAGGGAATGAAGGATGATACCCTTTGGCCAATAGACACGCGCCGACCCATACACGACCTTGACCGACCGGCACTTTAAAGGATGAAACATCCTCGAACATCAAGCGCAAGCGGCACCCTGACTCTGCGGCCTTTCCTACGCGTAGTCCGATTGACCTCTTATTACGCTGGCCCTGGGGTATGTCCGATGTATCGCAGACATCTGTTGGACAGACCAGGGAAAACACCGAGCCAGGAGGGTGGCTTTACCATAGCCGAAGGGAACATTGTCGGATTGTGGCGGATGTATAGGGCTTGAGGGTTTTGGACCCCAATTCCAGCAGTGAGGAAACGTGCCATCTGTTAAACGCGGTTCTACGAGTACGAGGAGGAGCGATGAGGCTACTCGATAGGAACAACAAAACAGAGCCAGACACATGCCATTCCGGATGAGGTGCAGGCTGGTGCTGACGGTTCTCGGACAATTCACAAAGATGGAACACCACTTGTCCGGAAATCCTTGGTGCAGGGCCGCTGCAGGTGACAAATAGCGATGGATCAAGCAGCCCAGGGGCCTTACAGGGCGAATCCTCCTGGCGCACCCACATTGGGCCATATGGCAGGGGGCACTTTGGCCTAACGGTCCATTCATCCAACAGGCATCGAGTATGGCGCCATTTACAAGAATCTGGACCCCAATCCATGGCGCCGAGAGAAAAGCCAATGGCAAAATCCCAGTCTTTCCCCTGGTTCTTTTGCAGCTGTTCCACCCCCGTCACCCCCGTGTAGCGCCGTCCTCGTATGGTTCGTTCCACGACGACCAGAATCATGCATCCTCCAAGACGAGCTGAAAACCGCTCGGCTCCTTATCGCTGGCATGTCTCACAGGGTCTGCACTGTTTTATCTTTTCCCCTCCGCCCTCTTGCGGTTGTCGAACAAATCGGTGCATTGAGCGCCAATGTGTTGTTGATCCCTGACGCTTGAAAGCACGCAGCGCCCAAGTAGTGAGATAGATGACTTCCCGACCAGTCCCATCTTGAAGTGTCGTCTTTCGTTGCAGACGCTCAACGCCAGCCTTACGAGACAAAGTCTAGCTCGTGCTTCAACAGGCGCGTCCCAATTTCCCCGACTCCAGTTGCTTATCCGCGACTAGTGCACGATTGATCATAGCGACGCCCCCGTCTGCATCGCTAAAAGGGTCCAACGCTGCTGCAGCAGAAAACTGTTTGATGCTGACACCCGGGATTTCTCTACGCTTTATTGACACTGCTATTCCGCTGACGTTCTGCGCAATCGCTGCCAAACGAAACCCGTGTTACCATCACCATCGCGAGGGTCAGCGCAAGTCTCTGTCGGATAATTTGTCAATGTCCAAGTCTGCAGCGACAGCTCTGTGCAAAGCGATCTGTGCGGCGCCCATTTACGACGAACTCTAGCGAGAAATCCCCAAGCATGTCTTCATCAAGGTCGTTCATCCAAACCACTGTGGACCACAGTTGACCTCGCTCTCTGTATTTACACGTCGCATCACTGCTGAAGGTTTACAATCGCCAGTATGGACCATAACCAGTATGATCTAGGCTCCATGCCTTTGTCGCAAACATCAGCCCCAGATCATGTTGAACTTCTTAGTGGAAAAGGTTCGCCCGGGAGTGCCGTCACGATCGGTGTGACACAATCCGCTCCTTACCATCGGCGTCATTCACGGGGGTATTCCGGAGACGAGCGATTGAAGTCGATAGATGAAACGGAGAGCATGCGAGATGAGTCGTACGACATGGTAGAACCATTAACGCCCACAAAGGCTCGCGGGTTCGGCGCAGGGCAATCCGCTGCCTCGTCAGTACTTCGACGATTGACCACCAAAATCAACCCCATGTCACGGGGCACATTTCGATCCACCAAGCGGTCTCAAGGCAGGGAGTATGCGACTTTGGGCGACAGTGAGGAGGGCCAAGCTGCTGCTGTGGATCTTTCGTCGTTGGAGGGCATGGGCTGGGAGCTCACTGACTTGTCAAATCCTGACACTGCGAGGCTCCAAGATGAGGAAACCGAGTACGTGAGCGTGGCCAGAAAGGATGGGAAACCTGATTTTCGCACGTTCGTCCAGAAGCGTGCGTCGGTAGGAGATGGAATGAAGGATGTGGGCGTGCAACTGAGGCGCGATCCTACGCGAATAGCTCGAAGAGGAACTGATGGCATGCGCAATGCCCGGAGCTCAGGCATCGATCGGAGCAAGACCGTGCGCGACTTGGGCCAGGACCTTGCGCAAAAGAAGAAGATGATTGTCGAGATCGAAGAAGTGGTTGACTTGAGCACCTTGGATGGAGGCAACGCAGATAATCGCCAGAGTCGCACGTTCGAGTCCATGTCCATGAGGCAGAGTGTGCTGCCCCAGGAGACGAAGAGCTACTTCTTCCCCGATGATCCTGATATCCCCAACTGGAAACCATGGTCAATGCGGCCTTGGTACATTTTGTCCTTGATGGCCCTGGCGCTGGGTTTGGCGGGCTTTCAGGAATACCTGTGTCAGCGGTCCTTCAAAAGCGTCAGAGAACACAGTGGGATCCTCGCCTTCGATGCTGTGGCGGAAATTTCGACCTGGGACTTCTTCGCATGGAAGTGTAAGTGAGCAATGCTACTCTTCTTATCACTCTACTAACCATATCCAGATCTTCCCACGATGATCACCATTGTCTACGCAGTTCTGTTCTCGATCATGGATTTCGACATTCGCCGTCTCGAACCGTTTTATCAATTATCACGACCTCGAGGTGCCTCTGCAGCTGCCTCGCTGAACCTGGATCACTTGACCATGTTCCAATACTTTGTTCCGTTCAAGGCGTTTCGACTCCGACAATGGGCGGTGTTCTTCTCGACCACGGGTAATATTGTGGCCTCGATGGTCTCGCCTGCTCTACAAAACCCCTCAATCACATTTGTCACGAACCCGGATCCGAAATGTAATGTTGATGGATGCCCTGGTGATGAAAAGCATTATTGGGTACGAATCTCACCGGTCTGGTCTCGAACCTTGTCCGCAAGCTATGTGTTTGTGGCGATCGTGCTCGTGATCCTGTTCGTTCAGTTGCGGCGCAAGTCCGGACTTCTCAGCGACCCGAAAGGTATAGCTGGCATTGCATCTATGGCCACCAAGTCGCATATTCTCCAGGATTTCGCGGGGCTGGACGAAGCAAATTGCGCAAAGATCCACAAAAGATTGGAACATCGACGATATGTGCTCTACAAATCTTCCATCTGGCAGGGCGAATGGAGCTCGCAGAGTGACCCGCCTCAGGATAGCGAGAGGAAGCTCACCAGTCCGCATCCATTGATGCTGCAAATGCAAGCGGCCATTCCGTTTCTTGCCTTTATGGTCTTCTGTCTGGTGTCGGTACCCGTCATAACGCTGACCAAGGCGCGGGTAGTACCGAACGCTGCGCCGTGGCTTCCCATTCTCGTGGCTACGGGCTTGAAGTTGTTTTTTAGCACGTTTGAGGCCGATGTTCGACTTATGGAACCATTCTATCAGCTTTCGCGGGGAAACGCCAGGCCTGAAAACAGTCTGACTCTGGATTACCAGGCGACTGTGTACGGGATCATGCCCTTTAAGGCGCTCGTTAATCGCCACTATCTCCTAACACTCGTCGGCGTGTCCTCGGTATTGTTGGATATCCTGGCCGTGACTGTGAGCTCTTTCTCGGTCAACTCGGAGGACTTTATGCACGTGGGAAGTCGCGGCGAGGACCGGTCCAACGGCGACGAGA